ATAAATAGTGTAATCCTTTTTATATTTCATTTTTTAAGGTTTTTCTAATGCCCCTTTGCTACCCTTCCTTAAGTTTCTTAGTTTCTCAGCTTTCTATCCCGAAATTCCATGCTGTCCATCACATTATTACTATGATTTTCTAAATCTATCTACTTCTATGGAATGATCTATTTACTTCATCTTGAGTAATACGTAAACGTAATTCTCCCTATTATTGTCATTTAGCCAACTCAGTAAACATTCTCTCCTGACACTACTTTTAACTATTGCTATTTCATTGCACCTTACAAATCTCTACTTTCACGTCCGTTTCACACTTATCCCTTGGAGATAATTTGTAGTACTATTAGAACTTCTTATTATAACTGCTATTCCCCTTATGCTTAATTCATTCAACGTGAAATCAATTCACACAAGGTCGCTTAAGGTGTTGTATAGATTTATAATTGAATTCGACAATTCAATTAATAGAACACCTTATGATGCCGTTGAAGTTCACTTAGTCTGGTCCTCCGGAATGCATTCTAACATAGATTTCATTACGCTTCTGAGCTATACCTCAGCAACCCCATTTAGATTTGAAACCGGGTCGTGCTGTGGATGATTTTACCATTGCCACTCATCTACTGATGTATAAGGGCCTCAGGGCAGATATGACTCCGTTCATTCAGACTGAGAATGCTTTCGATAGCACAAACCTTTATTTGCTATTGTCATATGCGATATTTATACATAGCAAGTTCCTGTTTAATATCTACGGATAATTTTGAGCCATCATTTAGTATAATGTAATGTTATAAATGGCAAATACGATTTTGCCTTAAATACTCTATTCTAACTTAGATCTAAACCAGTAGATGCCTCGCTTGTCATACACCATGACTTTCAGGCGCTCTTGGTTGTATGACAGTAGTACTTTTACTACTTGACGCACACGACTATTAGCAATCCATTTTAGGGTTGTTTTTGACACCTAGTCGAGGTCGAATATGCAATAAAACCAATGGGAATGCCCAAATGGCTTCAATTTCTTTTCTTTTATCATGGAAAATTTAATCACCGGTTCTTTCATCACCACAAGCGACTTGATGTGTCTCTGGTTCTTTTTTAAAGTATATTTATGGTTTTAAATAAATTATTATTTTCATTACTTCGTTTTGCTTCACATAATCCGCAGAGAATCTTAATTCACCTCGATTTGTAGCTAATGCAGACTTTGTCTATTTACTCTGTCCTAGTATCTAGTTTGGATAATAAAATTTCATTTTTCGCAATTTTTTTCATTTTAGGCACAAATTAGATGTTGTCTCCTGTGGCAAGAAGACTGCTTTAGCTCAAAAAGCTATTTTGTCTGGGTTCTTCAGGAATGCTGCTAAAAAGGATCCCCAGGAGGGATATCGCACACTTGTCGACCAACAAGTCGTCTACATTCATCCCTCAAGTGCACTTTTTAACCGTCAGCCTGATTGGTGAGTTACAATCCAGCTCATCTCCGATGGTTTATTTTGTATACTTAAATTGCTTAAAATTTTTTTTTCTAATTTACTAAATCCCTTCTTGATCATTTAACTTCCTGTTTACAATTGCATTTGTTCTTCATGGAGCTCTTTGATATAGGAGTCTTGCTTGAACAATCGCCTTGGAGTAACATTATTCTCATTTGTCTTGTTATTTAAGTATCGATTCGGTTCTAAACTTACCTGTTGGCTCTTGGTATCCGTTTTCAATTACTATAATTCTAAATTCAATTAGTTGTTCATAATCAACACTTAAAATCTCTTATTCAGATTATGATATAATTTATTTTCTGTCAATACAAATGACCCAATTTAGATATCAAGTCATATTGATCGAATACGCATTTTCAATTTGGGAAAGTTGCTTCCTTTTATAGAGATTGTTTTACCTTGTTTCCGCAACTTTGTCACATGGCTAGGAAGACTTATAGGAACACACCTAGTCCGGAGTCCATTGTATGCATGATAATTTTCAAAGTCAAACCGTAGACGTGGTACATTCCCAGAAGTTTCGCCGGCATCGTAGTCGGCATCAAAGTGAGTACTGCCATTCTTTCTTTAACGAGTTGTAGTATGGTGCTACAAATGGCAAGACTCACTGACGATGTCGGCTAAACGTCCACAGTCCGACTACAAATTATCATGCATACAATGGATTCCGGACTAGGTGCGTTCCTCTAATTTCCTATCAATATGATCAAGTTGCGAAAACAAGGTCAAACAACTTCTATGCAACGAAAGAAGACTGCGACCACACAAGGTCACACCATCTTGGTCTTCATATCTTCGATTAAAAATAATTTTCATGTCTATACGAAGCTGGAATAGGCGAGGATTGTGCAAGACGAAATGAGATAAGGAAAAGGGATATAATGATCCTTTAATTGTGTTGATTTCTTGTGTTTCTACAATCTAGCTCCATTCATTGAATATACTGAATAAAATGCCAGCAAAACTTCCTATAATCCACCAAGTTAACAATCAGTGGTATAATAAACAACCACGAGGACAAATATTCAATACTGGATTTCTTTGTACATACTTTCAAGATGATGAATTGAAGTCGAAATAATTTAATAAACACTTTATATTTTCAAACCAGGAAACCATATTAGGAAACTTAGTTTTTAATTTTTAAAAAATTTACAACTTCATCTTTATATCCAAGGTTTTTGCTGCAATGACAGACCCGTACTAATGCTGACTTATGAACGTTTTTATGTTCACATATATTCTTCTTGTGATTAAGTCATTTAAATATGGTCATTTTTGAATTTTTATTTTTTGCGATTGCCTAACAACTTCTATTCTCTATTAAGTATATTTGAATTTTCTTCCTCTTCAAGGGTCGTTTACCACGAATTGGTAATGACTACTAAAGAGTACATGCGGGAAGTTACCACTATAGACCCCCGCTGGCTGGTTGAGTTTGCGCCGAAGTTCTTCAAGTTTGGTGATCCAACTAAACTTTCTCGAGCCAAGAAGTCGATGCGGATTGAGCCGCTTTTCAACAAATATGAAGAGAAGGACTCTTGGCGCATTTCTCGGGCCCCTAAGAAGTTTCACGTTAAAGTTACCTTTTAATGGCCCTGTGATTGTATTTTTCAGCCTTTTTTT